GGTTTAGTGTACGATTTGTAGGTCGGGAGAACAATAGGGTAGCTCATTCGGTAGCTAGAAAGGCCCTCTCTTTGTACCCGTCTGTAAATCGCTCCTTTGATTTCAGGACCTGGCTGTTATCCAGGGTGTAACTATCTATTTGTTTGGTGTAACTATCTATTTGTTTTGATCAATATATGATATCTTTTGAAAAAAAAAAAAAAAAAAGAGTATAGGTCTTGCTCAAGCAACCACCATGCAGCACTTGCTTCTGGTTATTTTCTCAGTGCAATTGCTCATGCTGGTGCATTCAGAAACCTCACTCATGGGTGTTTTGCAATCATGATATCAGAGTACCGACGTCTGTCAGAGTCCCAACATCATAAGCAACCAAAATTGGATTAAACGTTTTCATTGACCTTTCACAAAGAGAACAAGGGCACATATTCAAAGGCCATTCCATCTACGTATTCTTCTCCCTAATATCACTAAAAGGGGAAAAGGCCACAATGCAGAAGAAGAAGAAAACAGATAGCACTAGTCAGAATGGAGGTATAGGAAAATAAAGAGTTGACTTAGATTTTGTTGAAGGCAACAATGTCGCAGCTCTGGATGTATTCATTGCGGGGCTCAACTGTGAGGTACTCGTCGATAAGTGTATCCACAGAGACATCGTCATCCACAATGGTCATCATGATCTGGAGCTTCTTGATTCCGTAACCAACAGCAACCAATTTTGCTGCAAGGAACTCATCATACACAAGATTACAACTTCGGACAATGCATACGAATAAAAAAAAACCATGTTAACAACATATATTTGAATAATGCAAAACGTACATGCTCCCCAGAAGAGACCAGGCATCTCGATGCTCCTCACTGCCTCCTCCAACTTCTTCATGTCTGTCTCATCATCCCAAGGTTTCACATCCAACAGAACAGATGACTTCCCACCTACAGTAACCATTACAACGTTTCCGATTATCACAGATGCTTAAACACAAGCCACCAAAAGTAAAGCTGAATGACATTCCTACTAACAGATAGATAAAGCTTACTTTCTTTCTTCTTGGTAGAAGACTTGGCCTTCTCTCTCTCCTCCGCTGCCTTCTTGTCCTCTTCGGTCTCATCGCCAAAAAGATCCAAGTCGTCATCATCATCATCTCCAGCAGCAGCAGCAGGAGCAGCCTTTAGATGGATGGCCAAGAGTTAGGTTCGATCAAACTACCAACATTAACAAAATTCCAGCAAACTAAACCAGAGAGTAGAGCATTTATTTGCTCTCAATTCCAAATATGATCTGTGTTTGATAGAGCTTCATCGATGAAGCCATAACAACCTAACAACGCAGTATTCTGGTCAGCTAACTACCAAAATGAGTAATCGGAGTTCCTTCTAGTCTAATATGATCTAAGTATAACGAGACTAACACATCAGTGACCATTGGATCGAAAAAACAATCAGTGCTGAAGTAACGGCAGTAAACTAACACTAAAAGAGAACATGCCAACTAATCCACAGTTAGAATTGAACCGAAAACGTACCTCTTTAGCAGAGGCGGCCGCGCCACCAACTCCTACACCAGCAGCCTTTCCTGGGAAGCTAGAAAACCCCACCAACTCACAAGACCCATCAGCCGACTAATCAATGCAAAAGGGTTTAAGAAAGCCACTAGACAGTAACATAAAAAAAGTTACGAGCTTTCACTCGAAAATCGATCGAATTACCCACCTCGAAGCAAGCTTTGAAGATACAGAGTTGTACCACTTGCAGACATTGGGGAAGGAATCGCCGGGAACACCATGAACAGCAGCATAAACCCTCACATCATCCTTGGTAAACTTGTCTCTGGGCGAACAACGAAGCAATTGGAATCAGTTGGCAAATATATACACAAAATCGAGGTTCACAGGAACAAAGATGAAACACGAGGGAAGTAATACTAACCCGGAGATGTAGGATTTTCCGGCGAGGAAGGCCTCGAGGGCTTTAAGACCACCCTCGGTGTGGAGATCTGAGAATGTGACCGCCATGGATAATGAACTGGCTGAAGACTTTGAAGACGAGAGTTAAAGATCGGGAAAGAGAAAATAGTTCAGTGGAGAAAAAAGGCTATATATGGGGAAGCCAAAACCCTAATCTCGGAGTGCGCGGATATAATTCTATCGGCGCGGATAGTGTTGTTATACTAACTAGCGTGGCCCCGGCCAGTTGGCCGGAGGAAGGTGAGGTATGAAATTTGATAATGTAACTAGGTGTATAGCTTATTGTTGTATAGTTTTTATTGGAAACACGTGATAAAAATAATGAATTTTAGCAGGAAAGAGACATGAATGATGCAACGAATCAAAAATCGGCCTTATGAACCAAAATCAAATATCTGTTATCTTGTGAAACAATATTGTTTCTGGTAATATGATGAGGTGGAGTAAGTTTTATAGATACCGGAATCCAGAAAATCGAATAAAAAATCGCCTATCTCGTAGGTTTTCGGAAAATTAGCATCTCACAATCGTTGTTACTCGACCCGTTGGCCGATTAATTTGCTTTATAAAACTTTCATCTTGTCGTCATTGTGCTTTCTGGTTTTTGTCAGGCCATGATAAAATCTAAGAAAATAAAAAACGAACAACACGATTTGGGATAGGAACCACCGTTGTCGTATCCCTAGAAAATGGTGGTAAACACAGACTCACCTGCCAAACTGGTTTGGATTGATATTTTTATCGAGTATCAGGGAACCACGTGATTATAAATTAGACTTGATCAAAACGGGCCAAAACTTGAAATTAAGCATGTTTGACCGACCCATGCAAAATTCTAATTATTCTTAACTTTTAAACTTTCTATTTGAAAATAAAAAATAGTGAAAGAAAAGAGATGACTGCAATTCGTCATTTGCACATCACTTATTCGGGAATAAAACCATAGAAATTCAAAAGGAACCGAAAATGTTTAGGATCGTTTTAATGTTTAAAATAACCAAATAGATCTTTCTGTTTAGTTTTTTATTAACAAATACCAAACGATTCCCTGTAAAATACACTATAATTTGATCATTATGATATCAAATAATTATATAATATATTTGAAATGATAAAAAATGGAATAATTGGGTTGGTCGAGGTTGAACCATTGAATAACATTAAAATACATTATATTTTAGCCAATGATGTTCATTTGTTTTACTTGACGGCCAAATCCCGTGTAGGTCAGGCCCATTCAACTCTTTTATTTTATGGTTAGCGGTTAGCCCATTAGATACCATGCATTAGTTTATTGTTAAATTTTATATTTTTAGCAACAAAAAGAAGTATTGTTTTTACCTTTTCATATATATTTTTATCACCACGGAGAAATAAAAGGGCTTAAAGAAAAAATTGACACTCCTGGACCTGTTTAAATCCGCATGTGTACGGTAAGTTTGCCCGTTCCACAGAAGAAAGAGAAAAAAATTGACACTTCATATTCTACCCTTCCTACAAACGCTTTTTAGAATGACAAACCAATGATGTTCATTTGTTTTACTTGATGGCCAAATCTCGTGTAGGTCAGACCCATTCAACTCTTTTATTTTATGGTTAGCAGTTAGCTCATTAGATACCATGCATTAGTTTATTGTAAATTTTTTTTTTAGCAATAAAAAGGAGTATTGTTTTTGCCTTTTCATGTATTTTATCACCATGGAGAAATAAAAGAGTTTACAGAAAAAAATTGACACTCCTGGACCCGTTTAAATCCGCATGTGTACGGTAAGTTGGCCCGTTCCACAGAAGAAAGAGAAAAAAATTGACACTTCATATTCTACCCTTCCTACAAACGCTTTTTAGAATGACAAACCAATGATGTTCATTTGTTTTACTTGATGGCCAAATCCCGTGTAGGTCAGACCCATTCAACTCTTTTATTTTATGGTTAGCAGTTAGCTCATTAGATACCATGCATTAGTTTATTGTAAATTTTTTTATTTTTAGCAATAAAAAGGAGTATTGTTTTTGCCTTTTCATATATATTTTATCACCATGGAGAAATAAAAGAGTTTACAGAAAAAATTGACATTCCTGGACCCGTTGAAATCCGCATGTGTACAGTAAGTTGGCCCGTTCCACTGAGAAAAAAGAAAAAAGAAAAAAATTTGACATTCCCTATTCTACCCTTCCTACAAACGCTCATGGAGCAGGAAATTTGAAATGAGGGAAGAGTTTTTCCTCCTTACTATTATATATTTTTAATTTAAAAAGATACAACAAATGTACTTAGTGTGATTGGTTATGATTGTTGTTTTTCTTTAGGGCAATGTCTATTTTTTACCCAAACCTTTGTCAGATTCTTTTATTTTAACCAAACCTATAGAAATTCTATTTATTATCCAAACGTATTATAATTTATCAAAGTCTGGGCATTCATTCTATTACCGTTACTTATTTCGTCCACGTGAGAGGTGGGATTTTGTTTTGTTTTTTGATAATCTTTTTATTAAAAATAGTAAATGATGGTATTCTGACCGCCACGTAGGAAGTCAACTCATTATGGTCATACTTAGTCAGCATTACTAACAGAAAAGTTGACGGAGAGTTAACGTTTGGATAATTTTTAGGAATTCAATAGGTTTGGTTAAAATAAAAGAATCTGAAAAAGGTTTGGGTAAAAAATAGACATTGCCCTTTTCTTTAAAATGGTCATGGTTCGAATCCCAGTACGTGTCTTTTTAATGAATAAAAAAAAATTTATTATGAAGACCAAAATGTCCTTCTTACTTTCACTCTCGTTGCAGGAAATTTGAAATGGGGCTCCGATTTTCCCCTTCGGTATATTATAGTATGTGTAGACAACAAAATTCATTAAGGGTAAAAGGGTAAACTAACACAAAAAACAAATTAAAAATAAATAAATAGATTTTCAATCCCCAGCCTTCCCCTCTCCGTCTGTCGATCTCTTCTCGCTGTTGCTGCCCGTGAAATCGAGAGCCTCCTCCTGATCCCGTCTCCCACGCCGCTGTCCAGAAACCTCTTCGGCCGGAACTAGAAAGGCTCTTCCCACAACTGCGGATCCATGTGGATGGCCCAAGCGTTGACCATGACTTTCGCCTTCTTCGGGATGGCGTACCCGCCGATGGTACACGGATGGATGGCTTCCCGCTGGATGATAATCAGGTGCAGCCGGAACGTCTCCTTCACGACGGCGTCCAGGTAGCTCAGCTCCTTCAAGTGGTGGTCTTCAACTAGGTTTCTCAGCTTGACGACAAGGAAAGCACGATTCGAATTAGGATGGAGAGCCACGAAGAGGTCACTGACGAGTTCCGAGGCGTGAAGTTCATGTGGGTTCTGCGTTCCAAGAAAATCCAGTTCTCCCCACCGAGGAGGCTCGAATCGCGGAATAGGAATGACGACTCCAAGTTGATCCTCTCGCAAGATCGGTTCTTTGAGGTTAGTTTCCCCAAACAGCACCAAGAAATGGCGGTCCAGTTCTATTTCCCCCACATCGTGAGAGAAGCGAGAGCCATGAAGCAGGACAAGAGGACGCTCAAGATCTTCACTGTCGAACCCGAGAATCTGTACGGGGACATATCCGAAGTCTGGACCGGAGTGAATTTGGACCATCCGGCCACGTTTGATACTCTGGCTATGGATACAGAGCTCAAGAACACAATCCTGAACGACCTGGAGCTCAGAACTATTGAATAATGGCCATACCATAATGAATACACCAATCCACGATTCATCATCCCTATACACAAATCAACATCCACCATCCCTCATTTACTTCTTTCCAAAACCAATGTTATCTCGCGCACCCATTTGCATTTCTGTAAACCAGCACATGCTAGTCATGTACCATTTATTTCCCTAGCTCTTTTACATTTCCCCTTCAATCACGTGTATGTATATATATCTCTTCCATGTAATGAAGTATCAGAAGAAGAAATACAAAAACAGAATAGGACTATCATTCTGGCCTTTCTCTTTTCCATCCTTTGTGGATTTCTTCAAGAACACATTGCCTTGTCGCACCTTAGTAGCTCCGTCATCGTCCACTTGATCACGGTTGTTATGTTGCCCGTCCCGCCCGGTGTGATGTCCTGGAAATGAGATGTTATCAACGTAACAACTAGAGCAATTATACCGACGACACGTTGTTATACAAACTAGATCGACATGCAAATGCGATACCAGAAGGAGGGCTTTTGAACTGGGTTACACTACTAACGTCCTAATGCATATAAAAAATCTATTAAAGCAAACCACAAAAACAAACCCGAAACGTCCTAATGCAGACCAAAAATCTATTAAAACAAACCAAAAACCTCACAAAGCAAACCCCATAATTTTGAGAGCACACCAGAAACCTCCTAATGCAAATCACAAAAAAGCAAACCATAAACGTCATAATGCAGACCACAAATATATTAAAACAAACTAGAAACCTCACAAAGCAAACCACAGAATTTTCAAAAACACACCACAAACCTCATAATGCAAACCACAAACACGTTAAAGCAAACCACAAAAACAAACCAGAAACCTCCTAATGCATACCACAAATCTCCTAAAACAAACCACAAACCCCTCAATGCAAACCACAAAGTTTTTGAAAGCAAACCAGAAACTTCTCAATGCAAACTACAAATACGATAAAGCAAACCAGAAACTTCTCAATGCAAACCACAAACGCGATAAAGCAAACCACAAAAGGAATACAAAAATGTGAGAAACCAAACCATAAATCTCACAATGCAGACCATAGCATCCGGTGGTCGTTGACCGTTAACCGATCAACGAAGTTCGTTGACCGAACTCCGATGACCGTCAGTGAGCAGATTCCGACGCCGATAGGCATATTCCGGCCCTGATGACTAGATTCCGTCGCACTCGCCGGGAAGCATATTCCAACGCCGGTAAGCATATTCTGGCGCCGGTGGCATATTCCGATGAGAAAATAGCATATTCCGGCGACGAAAAGCATATTCCGGTGATCGACGACCAGATTCCGGCGACCGGTGGCCGAATTCCGGCGACCAAAATTTTTGGCAGAAAATAAAAAAAAATTATTTTTTTTAAATTTTTTCATTATGACAATTATACCCCTGCTTTGATTTTACACTAGGTCAACTCAACTAATAAAAAGTCATCACAACCCTAGCTTCCTATTGGTTGGAGACTAGTGTTGTTACAATAACAACAAAAGGAGTGTTGTTATAGTATCTAGCCACTAATTTTATTTGCGAGTAATGACTGAAAAAAAATCCCAAAATAGAAAATATTTCATTTCAAAAATAATTACTCAAAACTTATGGAATTCATTTATACCAAATGGTATGTAGGGGTTATTTGCTTGATGGATTTGGTGATGGATCATTCAACATTTGGTCACTGGATTTATTCAAACGTGTCATGTTTAGTCACTAGAAATATTTACCTTCTTTTCATTTATGTTCTTTCTTTTGCTCTTTCTTTCTTTTTCTCTTTTTTCGAGGGGGTATTAGAGAGTACAACACATACCACTGATCCTTAAATGAACAATGCTCTCCATTAAGAACTTTCCTCCAACACTACCTTCTCATTTCTAGCAAGAACCATGCAAAACCACTTATGCAAAACCTAAATGAAGCTCAAAAGCGAGAACGACCTCCAGACAAGCTAGTGATGACAACCGTCCCATGAACTCTAGCATTTAGAGGTTGCCACCGTGGTGGAAAGACGATAGGGCTAAGTATTGATGATTGTGCTCATCTTTTTCACCAAAAAGGTCCTGACCCCACTGGTCGAGAGTGAATGATTCATTCTTGGTTTTGCATGTTCATATCTTACCCCAGTGAGGACCTATGTTGCCCCGTCGTTTGTTCCTTGGACTTGAGTTCTATGCATGGTTGGTTGTAGTTGGTGAGTAGTCCGGTCGAGACTTGCATTGATTTGCGAACTGGGTGAGAACTTTTCATGTGCCCATTCTTGATGCATTCGAATGTCGTTTGTGGTGGATGATGGTATTGTGTAAGGTGGTTCATGTGTTGATGCCCAATAGTCATTGAGATTCACCGCTTTGTGCCTTTTGATTTGTCCCCAATTTATTTGTTAGATTGAGATATCACCTAGGTTGAAAATGGTTTGTTTGGGGACAAGCAAACGTCTAAGTGTGGGGGAGTGATTCAGTCTCATTTGTACACCTTTTACCCCCCGATTTCCATATTCGTTTGAGGCATTTTTACTCGGAGAGGTTGGTTTTATGCCGGGTTTTGCCTTGTTTTGGTGTTTTCAGACTATGGCAGGTGGAACCAACCCCGGAGTCGAAAGTTGGTCGAAAGGGCGAGAAATCAAGTCAAAGGGGGGAAGCAGCAGATCACGGTTGGAGCTCTGTCTGTTCACAATCATTAAGACCGTGAATTGGAGCCGCTAGCCGTGAACCGCCTGGCATCCAGAGCATAAATTACTTTCACTGGACTCAAGTCAGTTCACAGTCGTAAGACCGTGAACTCAGGCCATTGCCAATGAACTCGACTTAGTGATGCGATGCGTTTTGACATGAGATCACGGTCCGTGCTTTCAGTTCACGACTGTGATCTGAGCCCGATCTGGGTATAAAAGGAGGTTGATCTTAATGAGAAAAAAGGGAGGGACCTAGTGTGTAGAAACTTATTCTTCTTCTTCTTTAGATTTCTAGAGTGAGAAAGTGACGAACCAAAGAAAAGGAGAAGCTAGGGTTTCGTCTTCAAGCAAGGATTTGGGAATTCCTCCCCCAAAGGAGGATCTCTTCAACACAAGGAGCAAGACTAGCATCTCATTAATGGTTTTCCTTCTTCTCTCTTGTGTTTTCCCTTCTCCTAACATGGAGTAGTCCCTTCTTTCACTTGGGTGTTTGTAAACTCTAGCTACAATTATGTGAATGCTTGTATGGATTGAATGATTTGTGTGTGGATGTGCTTAATGTAAATGTGGAGGTATTTTCATGAAAGATTGTTTTGTGTGTTTTCCTATCAATCTATTTGCCATTCTAACCTAGATAGATAGAAAAATCACTTTCTTTGAAAGAGGCTTTCAAAGCTGGGTTTTTTTAGGCAATTCATTGTATCCTCTCTAGGTTAATGTAGGGCAACCCTCTTAGTTTGTATTAGCACCTAGGGTTAGTGTAATTGGCCGTCCAAACTCCGATTCGAGGGTGAAGTCTTGGTAACCCTTAGTCGACAGGTCAAGAGAGTCACTTTGGTGGCTTGAATCGAACTCCCTCGACCTAGAGATTGAGAGAGTGGTGGCTTCAATCGATGTTGTAATATCTGTTTTGGGGCAATGAGACGAGAAAAGAAGAGAAGAAGATGTCTCGAGAGTGGAGACTTTATATGCATCAAGTGCACGAGCTCACATCACCAACTACACCACCTGTTCGTGATTTGAGACTCCAACTTATCAATGAGAACCTCAACTTCAAATAATTTCTAGGATGGATCGAAGCTTATGACACCATTCATCTCACGACGTGAAAGAAGCGCTTGTTGGGAGGAAACTCAACTAGTGGGTTTGCATTTCTTTCACTATTTCTCTTCGGATGAGTAATTTTTGTGCTATGATGTTAGATTCAATAACTCGCCCTTTGTAGATTTTGTGTTCTGGCCGCTCTCTCCCCATAGAATGCACCACCTGCTCCGTCCAACATCATTCACACCCAATCTGGTAACTTCGTTCTATCCTCTTTATCTTTCCTCCATTGAGAACAATATCCTGCTTAAGTGTAGGGGGTGTATTATTATGTATGTGTGTGAATGTTTGGTTGTATGTGTGTGCTTGGAGCCTAGTCGATTGTCCAAATTTCAAAAATTGAGGGCTCCAAGTATAGATATGTGCATGATCATATGAACATTGTGGTTTTGTGTAGTGAATTTATTGGCTTCTAGCATTAATGGATGAATGACTTGTTTGTGATTGAGATGACCTATAATGATGACTTAGATGTACTGTAGAGTCGTGTAGGGTTCTCTTTTTCAAATGTTTGCTTACCACATGCGACTTGGATTGATCACTCATTTCTTATAGTTGTTTATGCATAGAGGTTAAGAAATCAAAATGTGAGATGCATATAGGTAGCCATGTGAGGTTTGAGGTTGTTCGTTTCTTTCTTGTGCGATAGATCCCTCTTACCATGCTTTCTTTGCTACTTTGCTTTCTGCATTTTCACCATAATTTGACTTCTAGATAATAAACATTCATGGAGTAAACAGTATACCTAGAACCCGGGTTGATAATTAAACCGAACCCTCTTTACTGCAGTCTTCCGTAGTGGTTATACTTGGCCATTGTGGAAGTGTTGTGTTTTTATGAGTAAAGTTTTTGGCGTCATTGGACTTTCTAGATTATTAGGAAATGCAGAAGTTTGTTAATTTAGCTTTTCTTTCCCTTTTTCTCTTTATTTTCCACCCTTGCTTTTCACTTGGGTGTTTTATTTTTTTTGGTGCAGATTTGAATCATGGATCTTCAATTTAGGGATGACAACATAATTCGAATCCACGGGTATCCTACAGAGCCAACCCGGTCAACGCGGATAAAACCCACATTGACGGATTATGGCCCGGGTTTGAGTTTAAACCCATTTATTATTTTGCGGGTGGGTTGGATTC